TGACCCCAATTATTCCTCATAATTTGTATTTCTTAATTTTAATTTAATATGAAAGTAATAAAAGAATTAAAAATATATTATTATTACTCGCACTAGATGTTTACACCTAACCAATAGATACATGGCATGTCTCTTGCATATGGATTTCAATCATTTAACCATAGTAAATTATATTCATTCTCATCTAATTAAATTAATTAACCATAGTGAGTTAATATAGTTTGGTGTAAACACATGGTGTGAGTAAGTATTTACCCAACTATGATAATATCTTGGTTGAACTTTGTATAATCCTTAAGAAATTAAGAATAATATATCTCAGTTTGCATTTAATAAATAAGATATCATATTACTTAATTTAATCAAAATATAATAGAAAATTATGTTAAGAAAATCATTCTTTTCCATTCTAAAGTATTGTCTTGTTATTAAATAAATTCCTTAAATTGAATTTATTTTAGTTCTTAGATTTTAAATTGATACGACATCTAGGGTCAAACTTCCAAATATTTGGTAAGAGAATATTTAAGTAAAATCGTTTTTAATATTTAGCTAAGAGTTATTGCTTAAATCTTTGGTGTTAGAAATAATGAATTTTAAAAGGAAAGAATTTATAAAGCTAAATTTTTTCTTTATTTTAAGTTCTTCGATTATAGAAGTTTGTATATAGTTTGAATAAGGAGTGATTTAATATCTAAAATTTTAATTAATTTCGAAGTCCTAAATATTAAGAAAATAATTAAATGATTATTCCTAAATATAAAGGAAACAATTAAATGTCAATTCCTAAATATTAGGGAGATAATTAAATAAATATTTTTAAATATTAGGATAATATTTAAAAGACTATTTTGTCTAGTCTGAACTCTAGTTTTAAAGGGTAAAAAAGGCGAACGACATTTCGCTAAGGGCTTTCGTGCTTTTAATATAGTATAGATAGATATAGATATAGACAAACACTTTAAGTTTATCTAAGTTTTTTATTATTTTATCCTTAAAATATTCCTTTTTAGAACAACCCCTCCCCATGCCTCTTCAAGTCTGCAATTCTCATTGACTATTTAAGATAAGCAAATTCTCTATTTCTTTGCATATTTATATCTATGTGATTGTGTATTACTCTTTGAACTGTATGTAATAAATGATGACATATCAAATTTTTGGTGCATTGCTTTCTAAGTGTTGTGGTGATGAAGACAATGTTTGTTTCTCTTCAAATATTTACTTAGATTTATTTTTTACTTAGAAACTTTTATCAATTTATTAATTATTATAACTTATGATTATGTGCTTATCATAAAATAAAATTTATTTATCATAAAAATTTTCTTATCTAAGCACAATTGTATTTAAAATAAAATGACAAATAAAATATTTTGTATTTGAATAGATCCGAAATCTAAAATTTTGAAGAAATTATGCCCTTATAAGTGTAAACAGTTCTAAGTTTATTTAAGTCATTTTAACAGAAAAAGAGTTTATCAACACTTTTTTCTCAAATACTGCAACAACTTATTATCAATTTCAGCACTTGTATCCAAACACGTAACTGCTTATTTATTAAGTCAATTTCATCACTTAAAAGTGCTTTTCAACACCTAATACGTATCAGCTACTTCAAATCATGGGCTCTTAGACTTTCGTTCCGTGTTATTACTAGAAAGGATAGTTGCCTAACTCATAAAATTAAAACCCTGTATCAACATTATTCAAAGTCACAAGTTAAAAGCTATACTTTTTAAATAAAAAGGACTAAGATCAAATCACATTAGATATTTGTTTAATAATAATAATAACAACTGTTTTTATATTATTTTTATCTATAACTATAAAATGTACATAAATCTATCTATCTTATTTTAATAATATTTAATAACTCAAACACATTAATTAATAAAAATTGCATAATTTCAAAAAATTATATTCATCAATACAGGGTACACGCACAACGCGAGACTAATAATATTAAAACTGAATGTTCATGTATTATAAAATTATTTGGGAGTAAATTAGTTAGCCATGACCTAGTCTAATTACTTGGTCACCGAGATTGGTTAGTTGGTCACCAATATTTGTTACTTGACCATCAAGATCAGTTACTTGGTCACCAAGCAATTTTTTTATTATAAATAGAGACTTCTCTACTCATTTGTGTTAGATTATCAATAAAAGTTTATTAATTATCTCTCTCTAAATTTCTCTTATATTACTTTTTTTTTTATATTATACCATAAGATAAAAGAGTTTGTTATGTTTATAATTTGACCAACAAAAAAAAGAAACTACACATTTAAAATCCAATCCCAATAGCTAGGCGGTTTTCAACTAGTAAAACTCATACTTTTTCAATCCAATCAGGAAAATCCTAATTGGGATACAATCGGGGCGGTTCCAAAACTGAACTTTTCTAGTCCAACCCCAATTGGGATTCTGTCAACTATATATATAGGATCTGTTATCGTCCGCTTCATCGTATATTGCTTTCACTTTAGAATCTCTTCGTCGTACTTGATTTTTTTTTCAGATGGCCGATTCGGGTGGTGGTGCAGAGGCACATGCACGTATGAAACAGTATGAATACCGAGCAAACTCAAATCTTACCCTAACCACCGATTCTCGTCGTCCTCGTGATATTCATGAACTGACCGGTGAACCTGAGTCTCTTTATGGCAGAATAGACCCCAAAACATTTGGTGATCGAGCTTACAGAGGTAGACCATCTGAGAAGGATAGGAAGAAAAAGGAGCGGCAATGGGACACACTTGCCTCTGAGCCTAAAAGACGACGACTTCTTCAGGAAGAAAGTGTTCTTAATTTAACTGATGAGGAAGGTGGAGTTTACCAGCCTAAAACTATGGAAACTAGGGCTGCTTATGAAGCCATGCTCAGCCTTATTCAGCAGCAAATTGGCGGGCAGCCCTTTAGTGTTGTGAGTGGGGCTGCTGATGAGATATTGGCCGTGTTAAAAGACGGCAACTTTAAGAACCCTGAAAAGAAATTGGAAATTCATAAGCTGTTAAACCCTATTTCGGACCAGGTGTTTGATAAGTTGGTGTCGATTGGGCAACTCATCACTGACTACCAGTTAGATGGCCACGTTGATAGTGATGAAGCTCTTGATTATGATGTTGGTGTGGCAGTTGAGTTTGAGGAGAATGAAGACGAAGAAGAAGATGAAGAAAGCGAGATTGATGATGAAGAGGATGATGATGTTGTGCTGGAAGCCAATGGTTCTGGCTCAATGCAAATGGGCAGTGGCATTGATGAAGATGAGATGCAGGAGTCGGATGAAGGAATGGCTTTGAATGTTCAGGACATAGATGCTTATTGGCTTCAAAGAAAGATTTCTCAAGCTTACCAGCAGCAGATGGATCCGCAACAGAGCCAAAAGCTTGCTGAAGAAGTTCTTAAAATTCTTGCTGAAAGGGATGATGATCGCCAAGTAGAAACCAAGCTACTGGTTCATCTCCAATTTGACAAGTTCAGTCTCATCAAATATCTTCTAGGGAACCGGCTTAAGGTAGTATGGTGTACCCGTCTTGCAAGGGCTGAAGACCAAGAGAAAAGGAAGAGAATTGAAGAAGAGATGTTGGCTTTGGGGCAAGATCATGCTGCCATATTAGAGCAGTTGCGCGCGACTAGGGTTACAGCAAAAGAGAGGCAGAAGAAGTTGGAAAAAAACATTAGGGAAGAGGCTCGGTCTCTTAAAGATGAGACTGGTGGTGTTGATGGTAACGGGGATAGTAAGGCACTTATAGATAGAGATGTTGATAATGGTGGACAGCATGAGTTGCTTGATCTTGACAGCCTTACATTTCATCAAGGTGGTTTATTGATGTCAAATAAGACATTAGAGCTTCCAGCGGGGTCTTATAGGAGTCATAAGAAGGGCTATGAGGAAGTTCATGTACCAGCATTGAAGTCCAAGCCACTAGCCCCTGGCCAAGAGCTTGTGAAGATATCGTCCATTCCAGAGTGGGCTCAACCAGTGTTTAGCGGGATGACCCAATTGAACAAGGTGCAGAGTAAAGTATATGAAACTGCCCTCTTTACCCCAGAGAACATTTTGCTCTGTGCTCCGACTGGTGCTGGGAAGACCAATGTAGCTATGTTTACTATACTTCAGCAAATTGCACTAAACCGCAACGAAGATGGATCATTCAACCACAACAATTATAAGATTGTATATGTGGCACCCATGAAAGCCCTTGTTGCGGAAGTGGTTGGTAATCTCTCCAAGCGGTTGGAACATTATGGTGTCAAGGTGAAAGAGTTGAGCGGTGATCAAACATTAACTCGTCAACAGATTGAAGAGACTCAAATTATTGTGACTACCCCAGAGAAGTGGGATATTATAACAAGAAAGTCAGGCGATCGCACGTATATGCAGCTTGTTAAACTTGTTATTATTGATGAGATACATCTCCTTCATGACAATCGAGGGCCTGTCCTGGAGAGTATCATTGCGAGAACTGTTAGACAGATTGAAACCACAAAAGAGCATATTCGGCTTGTTGGATTATCAGCAACTCTTCCAAATTATGAGGACGTGGCTGTGTTTTTGCAAGTTGATCGGAACAAAGGACTCTTTCATTTTGACAATAGCTATAGACCTGTACCGTTGGCTCAACAGTATATTGGTATTACTGTTAAGAAGCCACTGCAGAGATTCCAGTTGATGAATGATGTTTGCTATGAGAAGGTGATTAGTGTTGCAGGAAAGCATCAGGTGCTTATTTTTGTCCATTCAAGGAAAGAAACAGCTAAAACAGCTCGGGCAATACGGGATACTGCACTTGCTAATGACACCCTTGGTAAGTTTTTGAAGGAGGATAGTTTAACTTGGGAAATTCTACAGTCTCAAACTGAGCTTATCAAGAGCAATGACCTCAAAGATGTTCTACCATATGGTTTTGCGATTCACCATGCGGGGTTGGCTAGAACTGATCGGCAACTTGTGGAGGAGCTTTTTGCTGCTGGCCATGTGCAAGTTTTGGTTTCAACAGCAACCTTAGCTTGGGGTGTCAATTTACCTGCACATACTGTCATTATAAAGGGCACTCAGATATACAATCCTGAAAAAGGAGCCTGGACTGAACTCAGTCCCCTTGATGTTATGCAGATGCTTGGCCGTGCGGGAAGGCCTCAATATGACACTTATGGTGAAGGAATCATCATAACTGGACACACACAATTGCAATATTATCTTTCTTTAATGAATCAGCAGCTTCCTATTGAAAGTCAACTAATATCTAAGTTGCCTGATCAATTGAACGCAGAGATTGTCCTTGGGACGGTGCAGAATGCCAAAGAGGCATGCAAGTGGCTCCTCTATACTTACCTCTGTGTTCGAATGCTACGAAATCCCACTCTTTATGGTCTCAAAACTGACTTTGCTTTGGAGGAAAGGTGTGCTGACTTGGTTCATTCTGCAGCTACATTACTGGACAAAAACAACCTGATTAAGTATGATAGAAAAAGTGGATATTTTCAGGTGACTGACCTGGGTCGCATTGCTAGCTATTACTACATAACTCATGGGACAATTTCCACATACAATGAGCACTTGAAACCGACGATGGGTGATATTGAGCTTTGTAGACTCTTCTCTCTCAGTGAGGAGTTCAAATATGCAACGGTAAGACAAGATGAGAAGATGGAATTGGCAAAGCTTCTGGATCGTGTTCCCATTCCTATCAGAGAGAGTCTTGAGGAGCCCAGTGCCAAGATCAATGTTCTACTGCAGGCATATATTTCGCAGCTGAAGCTCGAAGGGTTGTCTTTGTCATCGGACATGGTTTATATAACTCAGAGTGCTGCACGTCTCATGCGAGCTCTTTTTGAGATAGTTCTGAAAAGAGGATGGGCTCAGTTAGCTGAGAAGGCCTTGAAATGGTGCAAAATGATAAGCAAAAGGATGTGGAGTGTACAGACACCACTTCGCCAATTCCATGGCATACCAAATGAGATCTTGATGAAGTTGGAGAAGAAAGATTTGGCTTGGGAGCGTTATTATGATCTTTCATCACAAGAATTGGGAGAGCTTATCCGGTCCCCAAAGATGGGAAGGACGTTACACAAGTTTATTCATCAGTTCCCAAAGCTGAACCTCACAGCACATGTTCAACCAATTACCCGGTCAGTTTTGAGGGTAGAATTGACTATTACACCAGATTTCCGATGGGACGACAAGGTTCATGGTTTTGTAGAACCTTTCTGGGTGATTGTTGAAGATGATGATGGAGAATATATTCTTCACTATGAATATTTCATGCTGAAGAAGCAGTATATTGATGAAGACCATACTTTGAACTTCACAGTCCCAATATATGAGCCATTGCCCCCTCAATATTTCATTCGCGTTGTCTCAGACAGATGGCTAGGGTCCGAAACTGTTTTGCCAGTCTCTTTCCGACACCTGATTTTGCCTGAAAAATATCCTCCTCCCACCGAGTTACTAGACTTACAACCTCTGCCAATAACTGCATTGAGGAATCCAGCATATGAAGCACTTTGTCAAGATTTTAAGCATTTCAATCCGGTTCAGACTCAGGTTTTCACAGTGTTGTACAATTCAGATGACAATGTTTTGGTTGCAGCTCCAACTGGTAGTGGGAAGACCATTTGTGCTGAATTTGCCATATTGAGGAATCATCAGAAAGGACCTGATAGTGCCATGCGTGCTGTATATATAGCTCCACTAGTGGCTCTTGCCAAGGAGCGATTCAGTGATTGGAAGAAGAAATTTGGAGACTCTCTGGGGATGAGAGTTGTTGAATTAACTGGGGAGACAACCAGTGATCTGAAGCTGTTGGAGAAGGGTCAATTAATTATCAGCACGCCTGAGAAATGGGATGCTTTATCTCGTCGTTGGAAACAGCGTAAGCATGTTCAGCAAGTCAGTCTTTTCATAATCGATGAGTTGCATCTGATTGGTGGTCAAGGTGGCCCAATCCTGGAGGTAATCGTCTCTCGGATGAGATATATCTCAAGCCAGGTTGAGAACAAGATCCGGATCATCGCTTTGTCAACTTCCCTAGCTAATGCCAAGGATTTGGGAGAATGGATTGGGGCTACATCTCATGGGCTCTTCAACTTTCCTCCTACTGTCAGGCCTGTGCCACTGGAAATACACATTCAGGGTATTGATATTGCTAACTTTGAAGCTAGGATGCAAGCCATGACAAAGCCCACATATACTGCAATAGTCCGACATGCAAGGAAAGGAAAACCTGCAATCGTGTATGTTCCTACAAGGAAGCATGCACGCTTGACTGCCCTAGATCTGATGACTTATTCAAGCATGGACAGCGAAGACACACCTATATTTCTGCTACGATCTGCAGACGAGTTGGAGCCTTTTGTCAACAGGATCAATGAATCTATGCTGAAGGAGACACTCAAATATGGCGTGGGCTACTTGCATGAGGGATTGAGTGGCAATGATCAGGCTATAGTGAAAACATTGTTTGAAACTGGATGGATTCAAGTGTGTGTAATGAACAGTACAATGTGTTGGGGAGTAGCAGTATCTGCACATTTGGTGGTGGTCATGGGAACTCAATACTATGATGGTAGGGAAAATGCACAGTACACTGATTATCCGGTTACTGATTTGTTGCAGATGATGGGTCATGCTAGTCGTCCTCTTGTAGATAGCTCTGGGAAGTGTATCATCCTCTGCCATGCACCACGGAAGGACTACTATAAGAAGTTCTTGTATGAAGCATTCCCAGTTGAAAGCCATCTGCAGCACTATCTCCATGACAATTTGAATGCTGAGGTGGTTACTGGAGTTATTCAGAACAAGCAGGATGCTGTGAATTACCTAACATGGACCTTCATGTACAGAAGGCTGACACAGAATCCAAATTACTACAATCTGCTGGGTGTTGGTCACAGGCATCTCTCTGACCACCTCTCGCAGCTGGTGGAGAATGCTATCAGTGACTTGGAGGCAAGCAAATGTGTCGCCGTTGAGGATGACTTTTTGCTTTCACCTATGAATCTTGGCAGGATAGCGTCATATTATTATATCAGTTACACGACAATAGAGCGTTTTAACTCTTCTTTGACCTCCAAAACGAAGTTGAAGGGCATGCTGGAAATATTGGCTTCAGCTTCGGAATATGAACAGTTGCCTATACGACCAGGTGAGGAGGAGTTGATAAGAAGGTTGATTCATCACCAGCGTTTCTCTTTTGAGAATCCGATATACACAGATCCTCACATAAAGGCTAATGCTCTTTTGCAAGCCCATTTCTCTAGGCAAGTGGTGGGTGGCAATCTCGTTTCTGACCAGCAAGAGGTGCTTGTTTCTGCTACTAGGCTGCTTCAAGCAATGGTTGATGTTATTTCCAGCAATGGATGGTTTAGTCTAGCAATTCTAGCAATGGAGGTAAGCCAGATGGTGACACAGGGAATGTGGGTACGTGATTCTGTGCTTCTCCAGGTTCCACACTTCACAGAGGAATTGGCTAGCAAGTGCCTAGAAAATCCAGGAAAGAGTATAGAGACAGTGTTTGATTTAGTGCAGATGAAAGTTGACGAGAAGCGTGAGCTCTTTCAAATGTCGGACTTAGAGCTTATGGATATTGAACGGTTCTGTAATCGGTTTCCAGACATTGATTTGACATATGATGTGCTGGAGAGTGATAATGTGAGGGCTGGAGACCATGTAAGTGTGCAGGTAACCCTTGAGCGAGATATTAAGGGTAGAACAGAGGTTGGGCCTGTTTTTGCACCCAGATATGCTAAAGCCAAGGAAGAAGGATGGTGGCTTGTTGTTGGCGATACAAAGAGCAACCAATTACTGGCCATTAAGAGAGTTACGTCCCTCCAAAGGAAGTGTAGTGTCAAGCTGGAGTTTGCTGCGCCTGCAGAAGCTGGAACGAGGACCTACACACTCTATTTTGTCTGCGACTCTTATTTTCTGGCCTGTGATCAGGAATATAGTTTTACTCTTGATGTTAAAGAAGCAATGGCTGAAGATAACAATGGTAAGAGATTGATGTAGCGTTTCTTTTCTTTTTTTTGGAGAACATACTCTAAATGCTTAGTTTATTACCATAGACAAGCTAGTGGTGATTAGTTGTGTGGCTCTCTGCTTTAGATCCTTCTTTTTCGATAGAGACTAGATTTCAATGGCAATTGTGCAGCTGCCTAATAGGTTTGAAATGCTGGTGGGATGGCACGTCAACCCACCAGTGGTGATTAGTTATTTGATATCAGTATTGGTTTTCTCTCACTTAGAGGTTTCTGGTTCTGCCTTGTCCCTTCCCTGTCAACCCTTTACAATATATAGGGAAGCTTATTTGTACCACAAAGCTAATTGTAATAAAAGAATATAGTACATTAGATTATGTGTACATCATTTGTAGAAGATTCTTAAGCTAATTAGTCAGTACGCTGCTAGAAACGGCATATTATAGTGGCTTTCTGCTAAAGATATGCTTAAATCAAAAGCAATTTCATTTCACTGCTCCCTCTTTCATGAGCAGACATGCAGAGGCAACAAACAACAACCACAAATCCAGTGTAATCCTACAAATGGGGTTTGGGGAGGGTAATATGTACGCATATCTTACCCATCTCTCATGACCGTAAAGAGACATGTTTCATAATTAAGAAAAAGATTTAATTAGTGGAGATTCTACGGACAACCATGGATTCTAAATCCCACGAAAGTTACCAATATACTAATCAAAAGAAGTGCCAAGAAGGTCTAGCTAAAATATGAGAAAATGACATTGTTAACCGCTCTCAAAATAATAGCCGGAAAAATGGAGATACAAAAATTATATAAATTTTATATACTTTTTCGGCTACTAAATATAATAGTTTCTGGCGCGAGCTAAAAGTGAAAAAGCCCTAAACTAACAGCTTGTTTGGATGGTTGTTACCCATTGTATCGTATCGCATTGTTACTTTAAATACAATGTTTGTTTTGATTGTTACTTAAATTTTATTGTATCGTATCGTTAAATCCGTCGTTACATAACGACGAAATGTGCCACTTTATGTAACGACTGATTTGATGTGGTCGCGTCGTTATCTTGTCTTTTTCTCTCAATCTCACCATTTATTATTATTAAATTATTTTGTTTTATCATTTACCCTATCTTTTTATATTGTAATTTTACGTTGTATCATAATTTTTTTTTTATAATATTGCAAGTTTATTCTTCATATTGCTGGTGCATGATATCATGAAACGATGGCGAACGATACAATCTATCCAAACATTGTATTGAGCAAACGATACAGTACAATACAATACAGTACGATACGATACATTATGGAACGATGCGTAACAATCCTCCAAACAAGCCGTAAAGTGGCAAGATTGAGGCCTCGAAAAGCTTAATGTTTGAGTTTCATTCAAGTAGAAGGATTGAGGAACGCAATGTAAATTGAACGGTCGAAGATTTTTTTTGTTTTTTTAATTAAAACTAAGGACTTTAAAGGTTAAATGTCTTGGGAATTATAGTGTGGACATTGGACAAACAGTTCAATTTGTGTCAATTGAAAAAGAAAGAAAAAGGCCAGATAAGGCATTAATGGAACTTTTGTGAACCTCTCAAATTGGAGAATGTCAGATAGGTGCTTATCAAATTGAAATGACACCTCGGTAATTGAATTAGTCTAAAGGTTGCAATTTTAAATTACACTGTTTATATTAGGTGCAAATTTTTAATTTCATTTACTGTCCTCACTCTTCCATATTTAGCTGCCCTTCGGGTGAAACCTCAATAAAAAAACGAGAAATTTTATGTTGTGTCTCACATTCCACATAATTCTTATGTAAGACCCTTGATTACTGACAAGTGAATTCATGAGTCTCATTTATTTACTTTGAAGATAAAATTAGAACAAATAATTTAAAAGTTATTTAATATGCCTAACTAAGAACCAAAATAAGTATTAACATACTAATCAAAATGGTAAGAAAATATATGCATTTAAAAAGCTAAGCCTTCTGATCCTTCCGATCGGCACATATATTACAGAAGCTAAAACATATACTTGAATTGGAAAAATATGCTAACTTATAATTATTTTTTTGGGTATGAAGACAGAACTTTGTTTAACAATTTTTTCTAGAAATTTTTTAGACCATTTATCGATTTGTGCGTGTCATTCTTCCGCAAGGACTTTGCTAATCGGATGTCTCCAAAGGAACAAACTTTGTTTAACAATAATCTCCAAATCAGTTGACAAGAGCTTGAAAAAATAATCATCTTGATATGCTTAATGATAATTAAATATGTCAAAAAGTAAGAAAAGTTATTATTACTTGTTTAGAAAAGTAACTTCCATTAGTATAATAGAGATGAACAATTGCATAATTGTAAGATAAGAAAAATAATATAAAATGATTAATGCTTAGTAACTTCTCAAATTGTTATTTGCTAGTATTCTTCAAGCTTCTTTCAAACAATATAATTTCAATCCACCCGTGGAGCCAATAACTCCATCGTTGCAATATACAATCACCATCAGTCCCAACTCAATTACTAATTAGGATACAAAACTAATTCTCTGAACCATTAAAATAAATATTTCTTCCGGTGATGCATGAATTTTGGTTCTCAATACAACCTCCGAACTAGTTAGCAGAAGCCTGAGTCAATAGTTGTGTAAAACTAGTATTGGAACCTTCTTATAACGACATCAATGAATTTAACGGAAAAGAAAACAAATCAATACCAATAAATAAATTAAAATATAAAGACCACCATAAAATTAAAATTTGATTGTTTAGAGATTGAACCTCAAGACTTGAGCCCAAGAATCATTGCTCATGTTGTTGTATTGCTCTAGCTTTTAAAGTCTTTTGTGGTGCCCTCTTCTTTTTTGCTCAAGTTTTAGTTTCAATCTTCCATATCCACTTCTTTTATCCTTCTTCTTAATTGGATCGAAAACTCGATCATTAGTTCCTAAAGGACTAGCAGATGTACTAAATTTGGGATAGCTCTTATGAGTACCTTCTGCATATAACTCACTTTGGAGTTTAGTAATCTCAATCTTTGCTTGATACAAACACTTTCTAGCAATTTTTTCAGACTCGACATCGTATTTGCAGCTAAAGTCATAACAACAAATGATTCTTTCATCAAATCATTTAAGCGAATGGCCACAGATGAAGTTGGTGATTTCTTCCTATTGTTGTACTCATCAAATCCATTCCCTTGTATAGTATTCTTTGTCCATCTTTTCAGAATATATTGCACAGTGATATAAGAAAAATCTAACTCACAGAATAATACTTTTAGTGCATGGCAACATAACCAACCCAAAAATTCAAACATAAGACAACTACAACTTATAGAATTATCAAATAAATTGAATTGAACGACGTCAATTTGTCCTCCTTCCCTTCTAGGAACTGTATATGTGTGGCAAATGCCATTATTTTCAAATTTGGTCACCTTCTTGGATGTTCCATGCAAAAATTCATGTTGAAATGTTGTAAATATGGTTCTTGTGTAAATATTCGCAGCATGCTTTAATGTCCACAATTTTCTATAGCAAGTTTGGGTGTTCCTCGGCATTTAAAATCCTTCGTCACCTTAATATCACGCATTTCAGTTTCCCTTTGCTCATAATAATTAACAAATTCAGTTAAAGTCATTGTTTTGCAAGCCATTTCAATAAAGACCCTATTAGTGCTCTCACTCCTTTGAGTTGATTTAATGTCTGCAGAGAAAGTGGAACGACTAAATGTAGGCCACCACTTTTCCCTCAAATCATGCAATCTTTGAAGCCAACTATTTCTCTCACATTCTCATCTTCTGTCATTTCTTTCCATACTGACTCAAACTCTGACTCTGACTTGCACCTCCATATATAAGAGCTTATCAAAATATTTTTTCCTAAATCCTGATTTCCAATAAAGTTGAGGTATATTTTTTTGAACATTTTTGTCAGTATGCCATTCACATAGGCGGTGACAAGTACTTGAAAAAACTTCCTTAATGGCAGATGCAATTGCAGGAGCTTGATCGGTAAATATAGTTTTTGGTGCTTTCCCTCCCATTACCTTAAAAAATGTGTAGAATAGCAAAACAAAAGAACTAGTTGTTTCATCACTTAAGAATGCACATCCAAAAAAGATATTTTTTCCGGTGATTATTCACACACCCACAAATGGAGCACAAATCATGCCATATTTATTGTACCATATGTAGTGTCAAAAATTATCACATCACCAAAACACTTATAGTACAACTTAGATATACTATCTCTTTGGAAAAATTGCACATTCGTCCATCTTCATCTACTTGAAAAGAGTAAAAAAAAGTTTGAGTCCTCTGATTGCATATATATAAAATGATTCAAAAGAGTTTGAGCATTTCCACAATTAATTATACTTCTTTTACGTGCTAGTATAAAATTTTGAGCATCTTGTTCAATGAATCCAACATTCAATACCACCTGCTTCATTTTGAAGGTATCGAACAACTTTTTCAATGCGAATACCAGCATTTACCATAGAACTAAGAATATCTTTAGTAGCATCTGTAAGTCTTTGGCCAGACGACATGAAATGCCTCAAATTTTTCTTTACTATCGGATGGTTATGCTCATAAAAAATTCAAAAACTTCGTATATCCCATTTGAAATCTTAAACTTTATGCGAGCTATGCAACCACATCTATATTCTAACCTTTGACATTTATTTTTTTGATAATCCGAACATAACAGGGATTGTCCTTCGCAAGAATAAAGAAATAAATGCCTAGTTAATTCTTTCTTTCTATTGTAAGTTTTTGCACCTTTTCCAACACCAAAACCTTTTGCTACAGCATAGAAATTGTAAGCTTCATATGATTCATCTTCAGAACAAAATTTCATCCCATCTTAAAAGCAAAGTCGTTGCTGATGTTAATACCTTGAACATTATTAAACAAACGCGCCGCCAATTTTTAAAAGGTAGTTATTGCTCCATATATTAGGATTGTTTTGGAGTAAACAACTTTGAACCTCCCTAAAACTTTTAAAGTCCTTTAGATTCTTCACATCGAGTTCTTGAAACTGCATTTTATTGTGGAAGCAGATCAACTTTGTGTTAGTTTCTGAAACTTAATTTAGCTTTGGTAAGCCTATTCATTTCATACATACAATATTACATTTAGTAAATTTAATTTCCATATTTTTCTGTCTACTTCTTTATCTTGTTCGATTGGTTCTAAGGAAATTTATATTTTATTTGTTGCTTTAATATTTTGGATTGAATGCTCATATTTTTTGGGATAAATTTTGTTCACTCTTTACTTCTTCTTTTCTAATGGAATTAACGCATGATTTATATAGTATTAATGTTTTAG